ACAGAATAATATGGTGTAGTATTTCGGCTATACAATAACCAGTGACGTAGAGATATCTGAATACTTCGAAGACCTAGGACTTTTAGAATTACCTATCAGTATTTCATACCGCTGCAATGTCGAAGACGACTGAACCTACTGATTCATCGGTTGTAACAGGCCGAAGACCGCTAAAAATGGTCCCTCCTCATATGACAACCAATAGTTACGTTGTAACAGGGATGACTCCAATAGAATTTATATATAAGCACCATAGAGGTGCGAAATTCAACTTGAATTCAACGACTGAACCTACTGATTCATCGGTTGCAGCAGGCCAAAGACCGCTAAAAATGGTCCCTCATATGACAACCAATGGTTACGTTGTAACAGGGATGACACCAATAGAATTTATATATAAGCACCATAGAGGTGCGAAATTCAACTTGAATTCAACGACTGAACCTACTGATTCATCGGTTGCAGCAGGCCAAAGACCGCTAAAAATGGTCCCTCATATGACAACCAATGGTTACGTTGTAACAGGGATGACACCAATAGAATTTATATATAAGCACCATAGAGGTGCGAAATTCAACTTGAATTCAACGACTGAACCTACTGATTCATCGGTTGCAGCAGGCCAAAGACCGCTAAAAATGGTCCCTCATATGACAACCAATGGTTACGTTATAAGAGGGTTGACTTCCGAAGACTTTTATAATAAGCACCATAAAGGAACGGAATTCAACTTTGAAGAATTACAAAAAGAATTTAAGAAGTATTGTCTCGATTATATGGAAAATTTGAATATGACCGATATTTTTGTAGCTGTGCAGTTCTGCAGCAGAATAATTCATGAAATTGAGCCTCAAAGTAGGAGGATTTCGCAGAACAAGTTCTGGAAATTCATCTTCAGATTTGGTGAGATTGAAAATATCGTATTCGTTACACCTTCCAAAAATCAAATTCCACCATACAAAACAGTAGGTGGAAATGGCTATATAGTCTTAAGTATAAAAGAAGCTGCCCTCCTATCTATGGACACTTTCACCAGAGTTTCGAATCTTATTTATGAAAACAAAGATTCAGCCTGCTTATTGACCCCCATAGCACGTGCTTCCTTTAGCAAGGACAACATTGAAGATTTCTCTGCAGCTTACCAGGTCGCGCCAGTCACTTTGATATCCATGATAAACGAAAGCTGTCAAAGTAGTGGACAGTACCTACTGAACAGTGATCCTAATATTGCTATTGCGGCAAGCTGGGCAATCACCCGTAACGTAAAAGACGAGTCCATACGTAGATTCGTAGTAAGGAAATTGGCGAACCAGTACATCGCAGTAGGCAAAGTGCCTAGTAGGGATAAGATGGAGACAGCAGGATCTTTTGCAATAGGAGGGATGCCAGCTGAATTTCCTTTCGATGAGCTGATTAAATTTAATGAAGTTGAGCGAAAACAAGTTTCTTCGATCAAGCAGGCCAAATTCGTTAGAGATTCTGAAATCTCAATTGAAGTTTTACCTCCAAGTACCAGCAAATGAGACATCCCTAAGTCAGCCTCGGAAAAGAGAACCTTGAGGTAGAAATGTGTTAATGATCTCCAGCTACTTAGGGACTTTAATGCCCTGTATGTAAATATTGATATCTTCCTAATGATGTATTCGGTATACATTGTTTATGTAAAAATCACACTTGAAGGGATATTTTTAAGTGTGGGGTAGTAAACGCTAAAAGACTGAGAAGCCTATCGTCGTGGGGCTGACACTCACAATGGATATCAACCCATTTTACAACTCCTTGGATGTAGAGTGGATGCCGTTACGCTTTTACCATTGGATTGGCGACTTCTCCTCGATCAGTCTGAGAAATTCATAGCACACTTCATAGATACTGCTATTGCCGTTGCAGAAAATAAGAACAATGAATGGTCTAAGATATCCTTCGCAAATTGTAATGTTATATTGTGTGAATTATATGGCGACCGCGCAATAAAAACAACATCAGGGAAAAATAGTATTCCTTTTGAGAGACTGTGTTTTGAAAAACTTTTAAACTTAGAATCATGTATATGTTCCTATCTAACGCTCGCTGATGATCATTATACTACTGCGATACGTGCTCGTAATAGTTTTTTGAATGAGATTACAGGGGCTTTTGAAAGCGGCAAAATTTCGAATATCACGCCAAGCAGAGTACGGATCTTCTTGGTTCGCATTGCATATTTGATCATCTCTCCACAGAATTAGTAGTATTAGCAATACACGAGTTGGTAAATAGTTCACTCGAGCGATTGAATTGTAGTTTCAACTGGGACGACTGTATGCCTTAAAGCTTAGAAAAATTGTATTAAGAGTAAATAAAAAGAGTTTGTATAACATAAATTATCTACTTTATTCCATTATCCTTATTCTTCGAAGTATTTAACTCCCCAATCTTCAAAAGGTCCTTTTTCAGAATCTATTTTCATTCCGAATAAGAAATGCAAATCAAAGATATGAAATACCCAGGGAGCGTTTGTACTTCCTCCGTACCACAACCAGATCATTCTTTCTCTTTCTTCGATTCTTCGCATGCGCACATCACGCACCATTGTCCTTTTTTTTTCTCCTGTGTCGAGCGGATCATATTTATTGCATCTGGCGGTTCTCCTCACGATGAAAGTTTATCCTCATTAACTCTATAGGCAGCTTTTACATATCGTTTACAATCCCTTAAGATTGTGTGGTTAAAGCTCTTTGTCTATGAAACATGTGGCCAGCTAGGACCTCCAGAATGTCTATGTGACGTCTGTGTGACGTCTGTGTGACGGTAGTTCCGAAGTGGTGCATGTAAGTGACAGCTCACCTGAAGAGCAGGAAGATGGTCAAAGTGATATATTGTGTTATTCACCGATGCCGGAGTCGCCATCTTTACACGACCCGCCGAACAGCCCATCAATGACCACGTGGGACGAAGGATAGTCCCATCTCTTGGGGACACATTCCACTAAATAAATCGCGGGATGAGGCACAGACGGAACATGGACAGGGGCTCCACGATTATCCGCGACAGAGGCCCGCGAGCTACTGAGCTGACCAGGACCAAGGAACAAAGGATGTGACATCAGAGGATGGGATCACCACGAGAGCAAGCGCCACCAGCTAGCGGATAACGACACCTAAGACAAAAGGCATCAATTGCCTACACGAGTAAGAGCTTAAACAATACAGAGGCTCGTTACACGACTACAGAATTAGAATGCTTAGCAGTAGTTAGGGCTCTTAAGAAATGGAGAACTATTTTACTGGGACAGAAAATAACAGTTTATACGGACCACCGTGCGTTAAACTTTTTATCAAAATGCGCCACGGTTAGTAATAGGATAGCCAGGTGGATGCTACTGATACAAGAATTTGAGATCATATGGAAATATATTCCAGGCAAAGAAAATAGGATTGCGGATGTGTCATCCAGATTGCAAGAAAAAACAGAAAACAGGGTAGTGGATATTAATTATTCCCTGACGATTAATGACTCGGAGGACTGGTCTCGCGAGTTAGAGGAATTAAAAGAAATGCAGCAAGCGAGTGAGGAAATTAGGGCTGATAAGCAACTGCATCCGAATTGGTATTGCGAAGTTGACGGCTATATTTGCTCATTAAAGGAGGAATCAAAGAAAATTTTCATTCCTTCAAATTTCGCGAATAAATGGGTGGTTAAAGTACATTCGTTCTTAGCACACTTTGGGACGGATAAAGTAACTGCATCCCTTAAAAAATATTTCTACATAAAAAATTTAGGACCAAGAGTACGGGGTGTAGTATCATCCTGTGATATTTGTCAGAGAACGAAATATTATACAAGGGAGACGACAGGTCAACCTTATTACAAACTTCCAGGACAGTCAGGCATTAAGGTTTCATTAGACATTTATGGGCCTCTCTTCCAGTAGCAAAACATGGGTATAAATACGTTTTGGTTTTTATGGATCAGTTTTCGAAATTGGTTAAATTATATCCTGTGAATGATCAAAAGGTTAATACCATATTGAAAATAACAAAAGAAAAATACTTAACGCAGGTAGGAACACCACAAGTCCTATTAACGGATAGAGGGGGTCAATTCCTGTCCGAAGAGTGGAATAGGGAAATTAAGGAAATGGGAATTATTCCGGTAAAAACTTCAACATACAACCCCCAATCAAATCCTGTAGAGAGAGTAATGAGAGAAAATAGGTGGAATGATTAGAACGTATACTCATGACAGTCCGACTAAATGACCTGCGATCCTGGAAGGAACGGCAAGAGTAATTAATAATACGGTACACGAATCCACGGGGTGTGAACCGAGTGCTTTGCATGACAATATCGAGAGTCTAGAATTACCGGGAGTATTTCTGGAGGTCCAAAACGCCGCTGATCCTAAAGAGGTGGTGGTGGCAAAGGTAAAAGAAAGGCTCAAATCCACGATTCCGATTCTGGAGTTCATCCAAGCAGGTTCTTTTTCAAAATCTTTTTTTTTTGTCTTGTTGACGAAAAGAGGAAATATTATGTTTAGAATTTTTTAACAGAAAATATTAACCTCAGCGATACTCGTGCAGCAATACTTGTTGCATTCGGTGCTGCATTTCAATATTCACTGATAAACGTAACATTTTTATGTAACTGCGTTTACTGGGTTACAGAACGAGCACTTCTTTATGTTAATACATACGGTAATGCATATTGCAAACGTTACTGGTGGACACTTGTTATCGCACTCAAGTACAGGGTGATCATTCACAATAAGCGAATAACATGGAACTTAGCCTGTCCATTCGATTTCTATGGCTCCAAGTAGTGGGTTCGTTTTGAATGACCCTGTACATCAGGTTAGTCTGTGAATTTGTACGCATTTTTTTAACCAGAATTGGTCCTACATCACTGCGACGTGACATGTATAAATGATATTTATGTAAAACAAGAACATCATAGAAACAATGCCTTATTCCCGTAAAGAGTGCCCATATCGTTCTGCCGTTTTCATTGGGTCACTTGGAAAACCCGTTACTGTATTCTGGCCTCAAGTGAGTAATATCAGCTGTAATAAAATACGTGTAATGGAACGTGAATAGTAAAGGGTCATAAAACTGTATCAGAATTAGTGAGAACGTTTGATAAAATTTCTATGGACATACTAGGACCATTAGCTAGAACCGAAAACAATTCAAAACAATAAAGAGTAGTATAAACGGGTGCAAATGATTCCAAGTGGTACAACGGGGAATGCGAGACAAGGGGGGGGGGTCTTCTGAAGGATTCGTGACGTTCCAGAGTACTATTATAAAAAGGGTATCATATAAACTTTCGTTAAACTTGGGCTAATTTGAGACTCATACTTTGAATCAATATTTATCATGTTTCCCCTTGTGACAAATAACGTATACCGTAGCGTAGATATCCGAGGTGGTAATTAAAATATTTAAAAGTTCCGATCGTTGGACGAGGCAATCACGTGCGTATTTCATTAGAAATATTATTACAGATTTCAAAATGTCTATCGATCTTTATTTGATGCCCGTAAGTGCCCCATGCCGAGCTGTGCGGCTGGTAGCGGCGGCCGTCGGCGTCGATCTGAACCTGAAACTCGTGAATCTGATGAAGGGCGAATAACTCACGCCTGAGTTTCTCAAGGTGCAAACTATTCAGTTTATGCCTCTTTTACAGCGAGTAATTGATGCACTGCGCAATTGTATCCGTATTCTCGGAGGATAAACAAAATCCGTGGGCTAGGTGTCTGGCGGCCTCACCAAGGTTATTGGTACTTCTAAGGAAGGCGTGTTGACCGAACGTGTCGAGCCCGGCTTGTGCAAAGGTGTGGGAGCACGCCTGTTGTACAAGCTAGCTGCGAAGGGGTTCCAGGACCCTAGCGGCGGGGCAGGTATGGCCTAACGGCCTTAAGACTCGGGTACTGCCCTCGGAAGCCTGTTGGTGAAATTATCTGTATCCGTATTCTGTTTAGGTAAATTTAGGTAATAATTTTTGAAATAAATCCAGCGATTTTACTATTCACAGATAAACCCGCAGCACACAGTACCCGTAATCGACGACAATGGCTTTATCTCGCTGAAAGGTAAGACAAAGTCTCTTTGCTGACAAAAATCAATATTTTTGAAAATATAGTTTCTAGTGTTTATCATCAATTTATATCGATATCTTAATCTTGAATTTTCCACGTGAATTAATATAATATATGTGGGGTTGGAGGAAACGGATGCTCTTCGTATATTGATTTGCATTATTTTTACATTACTTTAACCACGTCTGATTAAGCGTGGAACGTAACGATATTTTTTTTTATCAAATATTGCACATGCATTATGATCGTGATATCGCGTTACCCGATATACTATAAAAATTTCGAATAATGCACATTCTTCACAGCCGAGCGATTTCGAGCTACTTGGTCGACAAATACGGGAAGAACGACTCCCTCTACCCGAAGGACATCAAAGAACGTGCAGTCGTCAATCAGCGATTGTATTTCGACATTGGTACCCTGTATCAGGCATATACGAGTGCTTACGTAAGTTCCAAATCAAGGAAGTACGGTGCATATATAAAGAGACGGTATAAAGTGGACACAAGTAAAAAGTGACTAAATCAATTATCAAAGATCGATCATATATTTTAACAGAGACCTGTAATATTCAGCGGAGCCCCTAAGGAAGCTGTGTTGATTAAAAATTTCAACGAAAGTCTGAAACTCTTTGAACAATTTTTGGAGAACGATCATTACGTGGCTGGAGAAAATCTTACGATTGCTGATCTTTCGTTGGTTACCACCGTATCCGAGCTTGAGGTGATAACAATTTTGAGAACCGATAATGACGTATCTAGATGCACATACAAACAGTCAAACAAGTCATAATTTTATCGATGATCAATTGCAGGTCTTGGAACATGACTTCAGCAAGTTTGAGAACATTAATCGCTGGTACGCCAAAGTTAAATCCGAAGCACCGCAATACGAGAAGATCACCGAAGAAGGAATTGGGGCATTGAAAGAATTGCTCGAATTGCTTAAGAAATAAACGCAGAATTATTTTTCCGTTAAACCCGACCGCACGAAGGTTTTGAAAAGGATGATTTATCATTTTAAAAATCAGAGCTACGAGCCATGGTGGTAGAATTGAAGACCTTGCGAATCTCTGCTGATCTGCTTACACTTCTCTCGCTCCGGAACGATAGTTATAATTTTTGTACCAATAAAAAAAAATCATCGTCCCAACCCCATCGTGAGCACTTTTTCACGAAGATATAGAAAATAAGAAAATAAAGAACTTACTTTGCGAGTATACCTACTATACTCAAAATTATATTTTTACATATTATTTTTGTTGACTCAAATATAATTCGAAGTGATGTACGATTAGATCGAGATTTTAGGGTTTCGCGTTCAAGTTTGCGGATGGAAGCCGCGTTCGTGTTTCGTCTGCATCATCAGGACTAACAGGCTCCGATACCGAAGCTCCACGTTGTGAGGAAGTCTTAATATCGCGGCTTTCCCTAAATATTCAGATGATGCGCTGGCTAGCATCTGCCCGGTTTGATAATTATCAAGGGAGTGGTGATACGATCCTGGAATACGTGATCTGCGGGTGCTAAGGAGAATGAAGCGACTCGAAGGTACGCAAAGTGCTTTTCCAGTCGCAAGCCTATTCCTTTCTACGGTCACACGTGATGTAGCTAGGCGTAAGTCGATCACCGGAAGTGTAATGCCAAATCATCAGGACACCGGTGCACAGCGACAGAAGTCTGCGCACCCGCGAATTCCGCCACAATCCGAGAACGAGCGTGGGGTCGTCCAGGGTGATAAGTCGCGCACGTGTCATTGGACGCCTGTCCAACAAGTCCTGCTACCTGATTACGCTATCAGACGTGAATTTTGCGAGTGGCTTCTTCGGACAACACGAGGAAGATCCGAGTCTCATCGGGAACATTTTTTCGGACGCTCCGGATGTTGGAACACCCACAATTTTCACGTGTAAGCTGCGAACAGACAAATGGAAGCTGTGGGAGCCGCCACGAGGTACTTTACGACATGTTCCCTGGGTGCTGAATCGGACGAGGACGACCTCCCCACGTCAAGTGGCTACGTCGCATGTAGACCCCAGAGGTTTAGGGGAAGCCAGATTAACCTTTCAAGGGAGAAGGTGGATGAAGAATCCAACTCTGTAAAACTCCGACAGTTTGTAATTGCACTCAAGGGCCCACGTGTACACTAACGGGAGGCATTGCCAATTTTATTACTTTTTGACAAAGTAATGTTCTTCTTCTTAAAAATTTGTCAAGCTGAACCAATAGTAACAATCCCTAACCCTACTCAAACAATCCACCCCCGCTAACCAACATCCCTAATTTTTTCTAACTCTCACTCTCATTCTCCGCTGATCCGTCAACCAGTCTAGTAAAACAGTTCTCCATTCCTCTCGCACAAAATACCATCTAACAGTTACTCCAATTATTGCAATTCATTAATTTATCTAGTACCAGTCGAAATTGTTTTCGGTTATTCCTTAACTAGCATCTTTGTAGAGTTTGTTGTCAGTGCATTAAGTTATAATAAACTCTATTCATTTGTTCATCAACTTTGCTTATACACATATATATATATATATATATATATATATATATATCCACACCGCAGACATCTTCTATAACCATAAGCAACAGAATCAAGGTACGCACAATCAAATTATTATTGGTGACGGTACTATCTAATTTTGTTGAAATATCATAAATGTTAGATTTCCTAGGTTCAATTGTTCAGTTGGTGACGGTTTTCATTTGTTTAGTAATTTTCAAATCAATCCTAGCAAATATCCAGTTCAATTCATCCTTCCCTTGGTAATTAGAGGCATAGCCCAATCCCGAGTAAAGTGCGCAAGCATTGACTCAAAACAGGGCAAAG